GTCATTTTTAAATCCAAGATGGTGGCTTCCGGTTACAGAAAAACTTGGAAATTCTGCCAAATACCCCACAATATGGGTATTTTTGGAATCGGAGTGATATTCAGGGACCCGAAATCGATATCTGACGCCATTTTGGAGACCAAGATGGTGGATTCCGGTTACATAAAAACTTGGAAATTCTGTCATATACCCCACAATATGGGTATTTTTGGAATCAGGGTGATGTGCACGGACCAGAAATCGATATAAGACGCCATTTTGAAATCCAAGATGGTGGCTTCCAGTTACATAAAAACTTGGAAATTCTGTCAAATACCACACAATATGGGTATTTTTGGAATCGGAGTGACGTTTAGGGATCGGAAATCGGTGTATGACGCCATTTTTAAATCCAATATGGCGGCTTCTAGTAACAGAAAAATTGGCAAATACCACCACGTCACCCCGATTCTTAAGATACCCATATTGTAGGTTATTTAACATTATTTTTATGTTTTTATGCAACCGGATGTCACCATATTGAATTTCACAATGGCGTCAGACATGGGTTTTCAGTCCTAATAAGACACCCCGATTCCAAAAAAACCCATAGTGTGGGGTATTCGACAGTATTTTCCAGTGTTTCTGCAACCGGATGTCACCATCTTGGATTTCGAAATGGTGTCAGACATGGATTCCCGGATCTCACAGGTCACCCCGATTCCAAAAATATCCATATTGTTGTGTATTTACGGTATTTTTCTGTTTTCCTGTAACCGGAAGCCAGCATCTTGGATTTAAAAATGGCGTCAGACATCGTTTTCTGGTTCCTACACATCACACCGATTCTTAAGATACCCATATTGTGGGTTATTTAACATTATTTTTCTGTTTTATGTAACCGGAAGCCGCCATCTTGGATTTCAAAATGGCATCACACATCGATTTCCAGTCCCTACACGACACTCTGATTCCAAAAATACCCATATTGTGGGGTATTTGACAGAATTTACAAGTTTTTCTGTAACCGGAAGCCGCCATCTTGGATTTCAAAATGGCGTCATTCATCGATATTCGGTTTCTACACGTCACTCCGATTCCAAAAATACCCATATTGTGTGGTATTTGACAGAATTTCCAAGTTTTTATGTAACCGGAAGCCGCCATCTTGGATTTAAAAATGGTGTCAGACATCGATTTCTGGTCCCTACACGTCACCCTGATTCCAAAAATACTCATAATGTGGGGTATTTGCCAAAATTTTCAAAAACCTCTTTTTACGAAGTAAATCCCAAATAACGAGTTTTCCTTTTTACGAAGTAAATCCCAAATAACGAGGTTTTTTTTACGCACTAATTCGATTTACGAACCCCTGTTTTGGTTCGTAAATGGAGGTTCCAGTGTAACACGTGTAAAGATCAATATCGCTGAAACTTCCACCAAATGAATGTTTAGAGTCTCCCTTTAATTTTAGCGAAGACAACAAATCAAGAAGACTGGCAACTTTGCCAAAATTCAAGCGACAGATACAGTAGCGCTGCGCTTGAGTGAAGGTGGAAGCATCGCATAGAAAAATGAGCAAATACACAAACCCTTCGTCTGAGGATGTAATCTTTGTTATCAAATTCGTTCGAAGCATTTACCTTTGAGCGGCAGATGACGCGATTGTACCTGTCTCATAGCGTTCGTATGAGAAAATGGAAGAGTTGCCAGTCTTCTTGATTGGTTGTCTTCGATTTTAGGCTAATTTAAAAATGTCTTATCAAGGGGTCTAGAACAAAAAAAAAATCCCTGTATTTATGTGTGCACGGACAAAGAGACTAACTCAGAGAGTGAGGCACTTTTGCTCAGTTGGATGGAGAAATTTATAAAACCGTACACTCCCGATTATAAGTTTAACGACAAAACATGCAAATGTGTTATGTTCATATCTTTGTCATTTTACGTCAAATTTTCGTTCTTTACAGAACATTTGAAAGATTTTGAATGGAAATACGAAAAGGCAAATTGCTCAATATAATTTTCAAATTTTTTACACCAAAGGTCACCCAATGTTACACTATTTTTTCAAAATGTACTCTGAAGAATCATGATTGATTTTCTCAGAATTGAGTTGAAAATAAATATTTGAAATTAAAAGTAGTAGTAGAACCCTTATGCTATACCATTCATACCATTCAAATGACCTAGGGAGATCAAAAATTGGACGCAAAATGAGAGAGCTTTGAACAAAACACATTTGCATGTATTTTTGGGGTGTATTTAAGCTGATGATCGGGAGTGTAGGTTACTCAGCGCTGAGTGAACTACGCTTTTAGGAATTTCTCCAGACAACTGAGTAAAGCAATCTCACGACTGAGGTAGTCCTATGGCCAGGCATGGAAAATCATCTACATTCATTTCATGCATTCATTTACATTCATTTGCCTCTAACTTTTTTCATCAACAGCATTCCACAAAATGATGTATAGAGCTTTACTAGGTTTTGTTATTAGCTATAACTTTTGTCCATAACTCAAATCTGTATCTCTTATACATCACGAATTAGAGCGGGCAGAACTCGTTACTGTTTTTCAGTGAATGTAAAATACATTCACTGAAAAAGAGTATTGGATTCTGTTTGCTCTGGTTCGTCATGCATAAGAGATACGGATTTGAGTTTTTGACAAAAGTTGTAGCTAATAACGAAGCCTACAAAAGCTCCATACATTATTTTGCGGAATTCTGTTGATGAAAAAAGTTAGGGGCAAATGAATGTAAATGAATGCACGAAATGGATGCAAATGATTTTCCATGCCTGCCTATGGCTCGACTGGCTAACTCGTGTGTATATATTTTATACATTTTACATTACATTACACATTTTCGATGAACTGAAAGGTGTATGTAACCATAAATTCGATGTCACACTCCTAGCAGCGTAGGAATAGCGGTATAATGAAAGAGATGATAATTTCATATTATTAGGCATTTTCTTTATGACTTTGGATGTACCTACACACTTAGATTTTTTTGCCGAGATGGGCACCACCGAGCAGCTCGGTATTTTATTTTGCTGGATCTCACTTGCCACGTGGTGATAACATACCAGCTAAAAAGTCCCTAAACAACTTTGCCGAAGGCAGCAACTTTCTAGCTGATCAAGATCTCGAGCTGAATATGAAAGAAAGGCACGTACATACTAGCACCACATAGTGAGAAAATTCTGAACTATTGTCACTCAACAAAAAGATCTTGACTTGCTGAAAAACTTTGCCGAATACATTTACTTTCTATCTGCCCAAGTAACATTTAATATAACGCTTTATAGAGGTTTTATAGTATTCTACAAGTCTAAATCATGGTCTACAGATCCCTCATCAAAATTGTTACTTGGGTGGTCAGGATCTACAGATATTTTATATGTGAGAATTTCACATGTATAGTAGCGCCGTGAAGTGAGAAAACCCTGAACTACTGTCCACCTGCAAAAAGGCCTTGACCTCATGAACAACTATGCCGCAGACAGTACCTGTAAAGAGTTACAGACTCCCCGTCAACACCAATGGTCATCAAAGTAAAGGAGAATGAACTCTTTTGTGTCACTTACAAATATACTAAATGAACAGTTGAAGTGATCGACGTCGTTAGAGCGCATTTTTTTTTGTTATTAAAGCATGAACGTCTAAAGAATAATGGAAAGCAATGTCATGATGTCATATTACATTTTATGGTATAACTGTCGAGTGAATCCGATTTTTTTAATTTTCACCAATGACAGGACACAAATGTATGCAAAAGCGTGTCGATGATCGTGACAATTAGCAAGCCTGGTGGCAAGTACAATCACATTTGACGCCCAGGGAAGTCGGGAAAAATTTAAACCCGGAAAACTCCTATACCAAACCGGGATTCAAACCCAGCCGCCTCCAGGATGGTCTTGCTTTGAGCTGCGCCTTTACAAAAAAAAAATCCCCTACAATTCAAGCCAAACAATGCAAAAAGTTATATTTATATAAACGAAGTTTAAAGTTAAAAAAATACCATTTTCAGAAATGCCAAAGGATTTTGTACTTCACTATCAATTTATTGAGCTAGCCTAAAAAAACGTTACATTGTGACACCTAAATGAACATCGTAGCTATAAGGTCAACGTCCTCAACATCTTTGCAATCCATTCGAGGAAGAGCTAGTAGGACTAAGGAAAAAGTAAGGCACAACAAACTCACAAATAGCTGTTTACAAATCACCCCTATCAGTCCGATATCAATTACCTTAATTCACACTTCAAAGAAAATCAACACAGGAAAAATAGACAAAAAAGGACCGAAAGCAGTCGTCTACTTTGTCCACCTTCTTCTCGGTTCAGAGCAAGCGTGAAAAGAAATCTATCTTCTGTCCTGAGCGTGTTCCTTTTTGGCCCGTGGCCAGCCGTCTTTAGTTGTTCGTTTTTCGTAAAACAAAAAGAAACAACCAACAGCAATCACAAGGAAGGAATTTTGGTTCTCCTTTTGTTCCGTCCGAAGATTTTAATCAGTCCAAACTTTCCTGATATTGATTTCCAATGTTTAATTAGGCGGCTGTTTGTGTAATGCTTATTGGCCGGCTGGGGCTCAGCAATGTTAAGCGCCGGTCGTAAATTAATCCTTTTCCTATAATGTGGACTGGACGAGTCGAAGAAATCAGAGTCCTCAAATATTTGAACGGTGTGTGTGTGTGCGTCCCGAGAAAGGGCTAGATCAAATATTTAGATCGAAGATAAGTTTCCCCTCTCGAGTATGAACTATAGAATTTCAAATCGTGTGGACGCCAGGCGCTTGGAGCGGGGTTTCACATTTTACGAGTTCGGAAGAAGTCTTTCGGTGTAACTTGTTGACCTTTCCCGATATGAGGCGGATCGCACTAATAACCTTTTAATTCGATTGGATTTCCATGGTAATGGGGTTGAGGATGCTGGAAAGCACATACAGAGAGAGGGTGACCCATTGACTGTTTAGATCTTCGGATTCAAAGTGTGTAAAGGAAAGGGGAAAGGAACTCACCGAACCGTAGACTGTCCCGCAGGTGTCCATGCACAGAAACAAACAGGTCGCTACGCCTTGGATCTTGATCTGACCGGCGGCCACGGTCGTTCGCTGGAGGATCGCTGCAATGGGAGAGAAGAAGGGAAATGTTGTTAGTTCTGGGTTGATTGTTCGATCGGAGAATTGGTCTCCCAAATATTGATAAGTTCCGTTCAATGGCATAGTAGTGTCAACAAATCGAATTTTCAAAACTACGCCGCTTGATGCAAGTAATTTGAAACCCATTACAATTTGGGATGTGAACTTCATTACTCCCATATTATCATAAAACATTTAAGCACCCTTCTGCGGTTTTCTTCCACCTAGTCCCGAGCCAAAACTAAAATCGAAGAACTTGTTGTATGCGAGTGCAAGTGCTTCCACCATCACAATCACTGGTTGGAAGATCGCATCGCTAGAACCAGGGCGTACCTCTTCAGCTTGAGTGAGATCGCATACCTCCTTGTAGTAGGAAGCGAATTCCAAACATTTCACATAATTGATGGTTGTGTCAGTTTGTTAGTCAAATATTTTTACATGACGCGCGCGCGTCTGGCCCAGTCTAATTCAGTGCAGTCGCCACCACCACCTCGAGACACGGGCAAACACATGTATGAGCATTACTCGTAAGCATCGTGCGGGAAAAATCAGTTTGTTGTTTTTTTGGAGAGCTCACTCACTTCTTGCCAACGCACATCGTTCATCATCATCGTCTCTCGAAGCCAAAATGTGCGCGCTGTTCCGTCGGTTGCAGTTTTGTAAGGTCCACGTTGATGTATTGGGAGTGGAAAGGTTAGCCGTTGTTTTAAGCGATTGGTGATTCTACCATTTCGGATCGCGGGCAAAGGTCTGGACCTGCTGTCGCAAGATTCATGGTTTTTCGAAAATTACTCACTGCTTGTCGCTGACCGTTATGCTCGTTTAAATTATTCTAAGCACCTGATGAATGCCGTCTGCCGCTGTGCCGTCTTTGTCTGGGTCCGTCAGAGAACTAGGGTTCTCCTAAATCCATTAACAGACCGTTGAAAATGGACCAATGTTCTTCAATTCTTTGCGATACACCCAACCGAAACTTCAAAAATATTTGCCAATTTTCTCCCGACGACGTCCCTTGACCAGTTTTTGTCACTTTCGTTTCCACAGCAAATTGGTTTCGTGTTTTGTAATTCCAGTGTCTCAACAACACGACACAATGTTTGCGCAAATATGGTCCATTCGTGGAGGGCAGCTCTTGCTAACTCGCAGCAAAGACCAAATGGAACATGGTAACAATAGAAGCAAGCGATGAATGACGAGACCGAAAACCAAAACCTGGTGTGGAGGTCTCCGGGAGGGAACACACCAGTCGAAAGATGTTTGTACGATAATTGCACAATTACCTACCCCTGAGTGCCATTCAATTTGCGGCAACTCAAGAGCACCGCCCAAGCGAGCGGCCAGCTTCGTTGGTGGATTTGAAGATTGTTACATTTTGAAAGTGATTATCTGCTGCTTTCTTGGCTAAATTGGCACCGCAACAGTAGTGGTTGATGAACGATTCAATTTGCTCCGGCGAAATTTTTGTGAGGCCCGGCCGCTTGGAGAGAATTAAGGTACCGTAAAACGGAGTATGTTTCATAATGTGGCTTTACTTTTATAGTAAAATATAATGATTAAATTTACTCTCTGTACTTTTTCCGACCATTGGTTTAATACTGTAGCTGAGGGTATTATCATAGAGGTAACTCTAAGACCAGAAGGTCCCGAAGAAACGAGCTCAACTTTTTGGCTCAGCTCTGGTACTCTCTTCGATCCCATGCTAATCGATTCACCCCTCGAAACATAGGAAAATCCACTAACCCCTCATTTTATCGGTCAAACTTTCATAGTGAATCAAAACAAACATTGTGTAGTACAGTGGAAGTTCGCTAATTGGGGGTTTTCTGGTTGGGGCGCTTTTTAATTGGGGGTTCGCTAATTGAGGCACGACCCAATTAAAAAGCAGTCATCCGTCAAAATCTGATGTCAAAATCATGCTGACGTTTTGATGTCATATTTTTTGGGGGGTCTTTCAATGATTGATAAAAAATAACGAAAAACAAAATATTTTTTGTAAAAAATCAATTTAATTCATAAAACAAGCAAATTAAAACAAAACAGTTACAGATTGCGTCTCTTCCACTCTGCTTCCAGCAATTCAGTTCGCAGGGTTTTCAGTTTCAAAGTCTGAGCGGGATTGTTCTGTACGAATTGGATCACGTTATCAAGCGACTTCATCGTGGTTGGAAAATCGATGTCTTCGGGTTCTTCGTTTTCAGTAGCAAGGGCACTTCCGTTCAAAGCCTCCGGGGTGGTATCGAACCATTCTTCCTCCATGAAAGTTAAATCGTCTGCTTTATTCAAAACTGCGCTGACTATTTCTTCGTCTCTGAACACTTCGCTGGTTATTGAAACTGTTGTACCATTGGAATCTACTACTCGATCCTCAAGCCAAAGCTGGATTTGCTCGTCGGTTGTGTTTGTTCCGGCTATGCCATCAATTGATGCTACAAGGGACTTGAAATCAGCAAAAAGATCCTCCGCCTGTTCAGACATGCTCCATTCACAACCTGGAAACTCATCGAACAACTTTTTCCAGGAATTTTCAATGGTAACCTGACTGATTTCGTCCCAAGCTTCAGCAATCCAATCAATACTCTGCCGTAAGGACACATTTTTCAGTCGTTGTTCCAAGGGCAAATCTTCGTTTTCCAAAACAAGCTTAAGCATCAGCTTTGTACCTGGTTTTGATTGCGTTGATCACCGACTGATCCATTGGCTGGCATGCTGTTGTCACATTTGGTGGAAGGTACATCACTTGAATTAATCCATCATCACTCTTCAAATCATCGCATCCATCGTAGTGAGCAGTACAGTTATCCAGAACCAAAAGCGCTGACGGTTCCAAATCGTGCTCAGCAGAGAACTTCCGGACAGCGGGAATGAACTCGTCATAAAACCAGGTACGGAACAACTGACGTGTCATCCAAGCTTTTTTGGAATTGTAGTAGGATACCGGTAATGATTGCTGAAAGCCGCGAATCCACGGGGGTTCTCGACTACCCCAATGAACATCAGTTTCATTTTGAGAGAACCATCCATGTTCGAGCACGGCATGAATGTGAATCGGGTTTTGTTGAGCTTTCGTCCCGAAGCGACTGTCTCGTCCCATAATGCGATAGTGCGTGATGCCATCAGCTTGGTGAAAAGTGCTGATTCATCTGCATTAAAAATTTGGGCTTTTGTCACATTCATTTCCAATACTTTCTTCATGAGCACTTCCTTGAATTTAAGGTACGCTTCTTTATCCGCGGAAGGTTTCTCTCCTGCCACCACCAAAACACGTAATCCGAAACGCTGTTTAAAACGGCGCACCCAGCCATCCGAAATCAAAAAAGTAAGATCCAGATAAACACCAAGATCTTGAAAGCATTGGAACAGTTGTTCTGCTTTGGCCTTGATCACATCCAATGTGACAATAATATTAGCCTCACGTTGTTGCAAAACCCATAGGTAAAGCGCTTCTTCCAGTAAGGGAAAATTCTGCTCCTTCATCGTTTTTCGATTTTCCACGCCATGTTCTCTGAATTTTTCTAGTTTCATCCGAATTGACTCCTTATTTTTCAAAAATCGACCGACCGAGGATGCTCCGACACCAAACCTTTTGCCTAATATTTCGTGGGAACCGTTTACTGCTTCAAATTCCTCGATTATTCTCACCTTCTGAGCCAAGGTAAGCGTAGTGTGCTTCCGTTTCACGACTTGCTTATTATCCACTCCGGAACTGGAAGCTGATACTCCTTCCATTGTGAAAGCTGAACAAATTTCAGGAGGATAATTGCTACAACATTACAAACAACGTATGAATGCACAAATATTTACCAGCGCCGGAAATAACTCAACAAAATATTCAATCGATTCACTCAATTTACACTCACGCAAGACAAAAACTAAGTAGCTGCTCACAGCATCAGTTAAGCAGACGAAAGACTGAAAACCAAAACAAACGAGTCAAGCGCCCCCCGGTCAAGTTTGACACTTGTCGACACCCCCCAATTAGCGAATGCCATTCGATAATTGGGGTGCAGTCGTACCCCAATTAGCGAACGGCTACTGTACTAGAATTTCGACTAGAATGGGATACGTTAATCATTTGCTTGGGACCAATAGGCTAGTCAAGTAGTGAACCAATTTAAAATCGTTAGTTTCGAATTGATGTTGGTATTATCCTATAGTATGTGTTATATATTTTCGAATCGAGAAGACTTTGATAGCAAAGATTCCTTCCTCAGAAGAAAGGCTTGTGTATTTGGCGTTGCATCCAACCTTCACTCAAACGCAGCGCTACTGTATCTGTCGCTTGGATTATGGCAAAGTTGCCAGTCTTCTTGATATTTTCCAAACATATTAAATAACAATTTTCGCCTGTATGAAAAAACACTCAAACCATCACTTATTAAATGTATTTTCGATGTAGCCATCTTAAATTTAACGTCTTCTTCTTATTGCTTATGATGTTTCCTGACCCATGCAGCACACTTGTCACTGAAGAGTTTTTGTTACTTGTTTGTAACTTATTTAAGTCACAATCAAGTTGCAGCAACCTCAAGTTTGCAAATACGCATTTCAGCTAAAATAATGTTTTTCGAAATAATAAACCAAAAGATGGTATGATGGCATGTTTTACTTCTAACTTACAAGAAGAGGTTACAAAGTATGCGTTTGAAACATAAAACCTGTAAATTTCGCTTTCTATGAGTCACAATCAGCGATTTTCTGATCGCTGAGTGAGTGAGTGTGTGAAAAATCGCTGATTGTGACTCTCATGAAGTGAAATAAACAGGTTTAATATGCCAAACACATTCTTTGTAACCTCTTCTTGTATCCTACCAATTCAAAATATGATCATGGCATCTAATTATTTCATAATTTAAAAAAAAAACATTGTTTTAGCTGAAATGACTATTTGAAACCTTGCCTATTATGATGGGTGAGTGCTGCTTGGGGATTATATACTCAATCAAAGTTTCATGTTTCTTGATCTAAATCGGTTGAGATTCACGCA